AAGATTTGTAAACATAGTCTGCTTGATTCATGCCCTTATGGGACGTCTTTTATTTTTTGCTTTTAGCGTTTTTGAAAGCTAATCAGCACACAGCCAATTCATCTACAGATCACCTGATGTTAACTTTGTAGATTCTTTCAGAAAGAGTTTTTCTTAAATTTAATTACACCAACATTTAGACAGACAGGGTTCTTTTAATCCAGCTTTAAACAAGAAATGTGTTACTATTCTGAGAATTGCTCAAGCAGCTGTCAGTCAACCTTTTGATCATTTAAAGAAGTCTTTCTGTTGTTGAACGGAAAGGTTGATTTGTCCCCGACACCTTGTCTTTTCAGTTTTCCGCGATGGGAGACAGACAATGTGACGAAGTGAAATGTTGTAAAGCATATTCAGTAAATAGGATTTGGTACACAGCAACTGACTCTTTGCTTTTTGGCAGGAAGTGTGTTAAAACACATGGGGGATAAGATGGGGGATTTCATTTGAATTTTCTCAATGAAAACTACCTGTTAACTTCTACAGTGCATTCACTTGTTGAATTTTCTTGTAGAAATATTCACTAAAGCAAATATTACTGACTTCAAGGCCAGTATATAATCGACAAGACACACCAGAGAAAGTCTGTATTATCAGATGCATCACTTACTTCAATAACTGCTAACACAACACAGTTTTTGAGCTCTATCCAGGTAGCCAATTGCATCTGAGTGCTGGCACATTCAGAGGTGTTCTGGCGATGGATGGACTGAATGTCAGTCTGCTCTGGTCCATACATGGCTGCCAGATTTGGCTTGGGTTTTTTTTTTGAGGTGCCGACTTTGGCCAATTTAGGCTTTGAATCTGCCTCAGTTAGCAGATCTCAGGCTAGCTTTGGGCAAATGTCAACTCGTGGCATTGGCCCAAGTTTGGCTGATTTTGGCAGGGCACTCATCACAAATCTGGCTAAAGTCAAGCGACCAGTTGGACCGGATTTAGGCCACTGTGGAGCCAAGTCATTTTGGCTAAATAGATACCTACCAGCCACTTTGCACTTAGTATAAATCCTGAGCTGCCTATTGACTGTTTAACTGGAGCTGCATTGCATTGAAACAGCTTGTGTCCATGTTTGCTTCCTGTCACCTTCAACAGGAAATACAAAGCAGCCCATTTAGAATGTTTATGTTGTCAAGTATGTAAACGGTAGTCCCAGGAACTTTCTTATCCCTGCTGATGAACAAATGTATTTTTAACCTATACTCCACCTTTATTCATTACTTCAAAAATTAATCAACAAGTCCTTTCGATTTGTAATGGCCTTTCAGAACACCACACACACACACTGCAATTTTTTTCTGATCTGATGCTCTATCATGACGAAATATTTTGACAGTGCCTTCCAAAACTGTAATAAATCACCACTGCAAATATTAAATCGTTTTCTTTCTTAGATTAAGGCACAAAAATGCCTTGGTTAGAAAGAGATCATGGTCTGGGTTAAAATAACTCATTGGTAAAGGGTGGGGAGAAATCCATCATGTTAAAAGAAATCAATGTGACTGTCAGTAGGGACCAGAATCATGGTATATATAATTTATTTAGAACTCCTAAACAAACAAAAAAAAAACCAACTGCCTCGCATGAGACAATACTTGAATTTAAAACACTGGACTCAAAACACCTTCTCTCAAAATAGAAGCTTCAAAGTTCCTCTGAAAAATTGTTTTAAACTTTGAAGGTTTACAGCTTCACTCTCCTCCTTCATGTCGGCCCAAATCACATGCAAAGCAGTTTGACTCACAAGAAACCAAGGTCACACGAGAATCCAGCCTTGATTTGCTACATAGAATGCAGCTGAAATCCATATTGCCTCACCTCTACCGGTGGACAGATTTCTGCTATTTCACATTATGCACCAATCAACCCAAACATTAATTCACTGGCGGGTGAAGTAATTAATAATAATGATCATCTTGTTACAATGCAACCTCCTGGTGGGAAATCTTGTGTCCTGGCATTTTCTCAAGGCAATTGAATCGAATGCAACTGGACTTAGTTTTGTCTTAGAAGATGTTTCACCTCTTATCCAAGAGGCTTCATCAGTCATGCTTGTCTGACTAGGCTGGAACTAGTCTGATAAACTGGTGTGGAAGCACCAGGTATTTAACCTCTGAGGAGGTCTTCACAAGACCAATGATGTCATTGGTTCGTTAGTGCTCCAAAGGTGTGTCAACAATGGTCGTTGAAACTCCTGCCGCAACGGTGGTCATTGGAGTCGTTAGAGTCACATGAGGCCATTTGTGAACGACCATTGATTTTAAAGGTGTTAAACCTCCTGGACAAGGATGAAAGGACAGCATTATAAGTGGGGACAGGTGGTGTCGCAGACCTCCTCCTCTATTGAGAGATGGTTTTTCCAATTTCACATAGATGGCTTCCTGGCATTTGTGTGGATGCCACCTGACATGCTACACCCACCCAAACACCACTGCAGACCTAACCCTCCCTCATGGCAGCTGCACTCCCACATAGCAGTGGCCCCCAGGTAAGACCATGTGCCATGTCACAACACAAAAACTGTTCAGAAACACGACAAAGAGCTCAAGGTGTCGACCTGGCCTTCGAATTCCCCAGATCCCAATCCAATGGAGCATCCTTGGGACATGCTGGTACCCCACTTTGCAACCCACAACACTCAAAGGATCTGCCACCAGTGTTTCAGTGCTAGACAACACAGGACACACCCCAGAGGTCCTGTGTCCATGCCTTGACAGGTCAGAACCAAGTCTGGTCCAAGGAGGCCCAACCATGGATTGGGAGTTCCTCTTGGTACCAGCATGTTCCACGAATTCTTGATCTGGGGAATTTGATCTATTTGTCACGTTCCTTGGGCCATTTCTGAACAGTTTTTGCGGTGCAGCATGGGGATACACTGCCATCTGGGAGTGCCGTTGCCATGAGGGGGTGTACTTGGTCTAAAAACTGTGTTTGGGTGGGTGGAGAGTGTCAGGTGGCATCCACATAAATGCCAGAACCTGAGGTTTCCCATAAAGATGTTACATATCATACATTGCAAAATGTCATATCGCCCAAACAGGAAGTGAACAGCAGTCTGTTGTGTAAAAGTCCAACCTTTTCCCATCCAATTTCCTCTACATACTTTGGACTTTGTGGCTTACATACAAACATGTCTCTATTTCATAATTCTTACAGCCACTAGAGGGACTTATTACTTACATACAGTAAATTACTGATGCTGCCATTTGTTCTTGGGAGGACAGTCTCAGTTGGCATCCCGAATTATCATGGTACTTTAAGACCATGTGTTTTTGTTACATTTTTTACTGTACTGCATACACTACTCTCCTTGTTAATCTATTTCTTAAGGACATGTTAAGCCAGTTTACCATATGCACATACATACACTTGTGACCATGAATACAACTCAACCAATATTGCTGGGACAACTTTTTTTCCTGTCGTCCCCACCTTGCCATCATTAAACCAATATAATCAGCAGAATTTCTGAAGTGAAACATGCTTTGCTTGTTTCTGTATCTATTTCCAATTAGATAATCCGATCCAAACAATGTTGCAGGAAAACCGAGGGACAATCTGCCTTGAGGAAAACCTCTCTCGCTTCACTCTGTCTCACAAACTCCAGCATGATAAAGACACAGTAGCGCTGTCTCCACCGAGAGAGGGGAGGCCATGACAAACATTTCAGAGAGAGGGCTGAAGTCAGTATCCTGCTGACATCAAAGTGGTGGTTCGTACTGCCCTATTTCAATACTCACACTACCCCTTCAAACTATTTTTACTCCCTGCATTCATACATCAGCTAACCCTCTGAGTGAGAGCTCTAATGACCCCACATTGAGACGATGTCTGTGGTAAACATCTCCTGAACTGCATCGCCCTATTTCTCCGCCAGCGTGGGTAATTTTCAGGGAGGCTTTGCTATAATTTGTGTGGTGCTATTAATGATGCAGCCTCAGGCTTTATGTTTGTTAGCCCGGAATCACAAACAATGAGCAGTCTGTGCATTTCTTCTTAAGGAAAAACATAGTCCGGGATTGCATTTAACTTTTGCTAGATGAGAAATGCGTTTAAGTTATTAAGACATGACATAAACTTCTATTTTTACCATAGTGTGGACATTTTTTTGTCTTTCAATCCGCTCTGATCATGACATAATGTTGTTTTAGCAGGCACTGTGTGTATCTGAATCACCTGAGATTGAGAAATAAGTTATTTAGAGTTGATTTCTAACCTTATTTATAATTGGAGCAAGCTGGATCCTGACTTCCCAACTTGTCAAGATCAACAGAAACCACTTTAACGGCTCAACATTACTTTAACCGTAAACATGGATGGATTTATGTTTTCAGTTCTCTCGTCTTTGCCATTTAGTCCTGCTACTACGTGCACAGCCACACACACACACGCATACACACACATAAACATTTGTCTCCTAGGATGAGCTCTGTCTTACACACACAATACCCGGTTGTCAGTGTCTTACTCATTCGGCAGATTAAGTTTAGCAGCTGAATAATACTAACATCCTGTTTGATTTGTGTTTACACCCTAAAGATAGAGCTGTATCCTCCTGGATGTTAAACTCATCTGTCCATCCTGACACTTCCCTGTATTGTTCCATCTGAGCAGAAAAAAATGGATTTGGATAAAAACAAAAACACTCTTCTCTGTGAATTTCCAAGATGCAAAATGCACAGCAAGACAATTAAAAGGGGCTGTGTGAGAAGAGAAATGCAAAAGCTGATGTGTAATATTGGCATTTTAAGTGTCCTCTTTAACATATTAGAATTTCTATGAACTTCAACAAGGTAAACCTACACAAACACATTGATATTTACACTGTGTGTATCCGGATGAAGCATGGAATCAAGTCCACACACTCTGAAAACCATGCTCAGCTGTGGCTCCACATCTGCAGCACTACACGAAAATGATCCAGCTGACTAATAACAGAAATTGTAACACTTATATTGTCTACTCACCCTCCTCTTTATTGTGAACCGTGTTGTCAGCATTTTCCGTCGCCGTGGAGAGGCAGCAGCAGACGCGCAGAGCGAGGAGCAGAAAGGCAAAGTTCTTCTGCCGCCTCCAGGTTCTCATGATGCCCGGACGCGGTGAGCTGAAGCCGGGGGAAAGCGCTCCGGTCAGACTGCGCTGTCAGAGCAGCACGACCACTTGACACAGGTGACAGGGTGGAGACACGGGTCAAAGCAGTTCACCGCGGTGGTGGTGGTGGTGGTGGTGTAGTAGTAGGGGGAGGAAAAAGAAAAAAAAAAAGCTTCACCACTAAGACCCCAACGTGATGTGGCAGGCTGTCACTCCAAGAAAGAAGCTGTCAAAAACTTTTCCTTCCTCCACCCGACGTTTGGCGGGCAGCGGTTTGAGGGGAGAAACGTCCAAATGCACGTGTTAGTTAAATGCAGTGTGTGTGGAGGTGTTGCTCATGTGGTAAGGGTATGGCAAGAAGCGGCAGGAGAGGCAGAATGAGAGGATGTTGGAGAGTAGTGAAGTGGACTTGCCATCCCCTCCAGGACCGGAGCAGCCACACTTCGCCATGTGCGCTTCAAGCTGCGCTGGGTCCTAAAGCCGGACAAATACTGACACAGTTATTATAATGTTCACCCATTTACCCACTTAATGCATCCAAGGGAAACAGCTTATGTTGTGAGATGTGGAAACGCCCCAAATACACACCTATTATCCATGATAATATAGTGGGCCAATTGATCAGTATGATTATACCATTTTTTCTATCATTTCTCATGCAGATTACCATCTAATTAACACTTGTAGATATTTAGTGTATTACATGAATGCAAAGCAATGAAACGGACAGCTTTGCTACCAGGCCGTGCTCAAGGGGCATTATCAATCCACCTGACCAGCCAGGTGTGCTTCAGCAGATGCGCATCATGCAGCCATGACTGTTTCTCCATGTTTGAGTGGACTAATGTTAGGCACAGAAGCCTGAGGAGCACTAAGTTTCGATGCTGCATCACGTTTTTCTCGGCAGTTTGTCAAAAGCCTCCAGGAGAGGATGTTTTTGCGAAAAAAACAATATCTTTTTCCGTTGTGTATGCAGCACCAGCCTCCCGGAAGCAGACCGGTTAACGCGGGGCAAAGGATCATGGGAGGAAAATAGTAGGAGTGCATTCCGTTTAGCAGGTACTGCAGCTGCCCTTGGAAAGTAGCCTACAGCCTACTGTTGGATGCAGTATGCACGCAGTCGGGACATAGACCTACTACTTTTTCATAACATTATGGCCTGAACTTTGACCCTCTTACTTTTATATCTGTTACCATGGAGATACTTACCAGAGCTCTGCTGTTGTTACTTTGCATTGAATGTAGTTTATTTAAAATTATAAAGTTATGTCCTTTTGTTGTTTGTGATATTTATGATTTTTTTGTTTACTTAAACAATTAATATTCCTATTATTACTGTTCGACTGGTCATCGGTTACTTGAATGCGCTGTCATCTGTCATTGCGACTTCTGACAGTTGTCAATCAGCTGTCAATCAGCTGTCAAGCTGTCATGTGTTTGCGGCTCAGTCGATGCAACTTATTGTCTGCTATGCAGAGGATTGTGGGTCGGAATAGCCAGAAAAGAATGCTAGCTTGCATAATGCAAAATCGGACCAGATGTAGTGGAACACCCTGGAGTTTTTGGCATACTATGTATTGGGACATACTAAATCTTTTTCTGGCATACTATTTAGTATAGTAGTATGGGGATTGAAACCTGATTGGAACGCACTGTAGTTTTCTTTGTTTTTTCCTTCATGTAGCCCAGGAGTGGCAACCTTCACTATAAAAAGCACTATTTTTGTCCAGAAATTATTTTAAAAATCTCTCTGGAGCTGTAGTAACAACACCTATTAAATTTAAATTACCCTGTCAAAATTACAAATACATCTAAATGGGCATTCATTTATATATTTTTGCCATCAGGTGGCACTACAGTGGGCTGTTTATGATTAGTTGGAACTTTAACTTTGCAGAGTTGATGGTAAAAGCAAATTAATCTCTTCATTCACACTTCAGTTCTGTTTCCTCTTTACTTTTCTTGGATTTGTAATCCATAACTAGCCAAGCTAGGGAGATTCAAGACTACTGTAGCCACCGCTGCTGAGATTAGGCAAAATGTAGAGGACACAGTGCTGGGCTGAAGACGATTGACGCATATTTTAGTTGCTGAAATATGTATGTATAGGCTAAACATTTTTACAGTTGGAGAATGTCAGAATCGCTCCAAGGTGACAGCACTGATAAGTGAACATTAAAAACACTGTAACTGATTTTCATGATTTTTTTTTTTTTTTTCAAAGCCAAAAGGAGCCACTGAGGCTAAAGAGCAGCGTGTGGCTCCAGAGCTGCTGGGTACCTACCCCTAATGTAGCCTATGATAAGACCCAAAGTATAAACAAAAACACATGTCCTTGGACCCTCACAGCAGATAAGAAAAAAAAATATATAATAGAACCCTTCAAGCGAGAAAAAACAAATTGTCATATAAATGTGTCTATCTGACAATCTTGACCAAAATATTCCCTTGCAGGAGAGATGTCTTCGGAGCTTTTTAAAATTATAGACATTTTGCGGTTCAGCTCAAAACATACGTTGATTTAGTCTATATTTATCAGAAAGTGTAAATGCCAGTGTTTTGTGATGTGATGTTTGCTCAGGAGACACAATAATCTTACCAAATAATATATGAGCGTTGTTAGACTCCACATTTGATGGAACAAAATATAACTTTCCCAGAAGCTAAACTTTTAAGAAGCTGCTTCTTCTTTGTATTGCATTTAAAAACTTTAAATTTGCATATAGTATTCTAACAAACATGATGAATGTAATTGGAATTTCTTTCTGTGTGTTTCTTACAGTACTTTCTTACTAGCCACTGTGGGTGGAGGTGTATGAATGGATCATGCTTTACATTGGAACATTTATCTATTTATTGTAGATATAACATAGTGTCAAACATGTTATACAGTTAATAAGAGCTTTGATGTTTCTCCTCTTGTTTCAGTCCCCCATGTTTTTCTGGCTTATTCTCAGCTGCTCTCTGGTGTGCCAAAATGTTGTGTTGTTTTTGATCCAGTGGGTCCACGGTGGATTATGATGATTGACTACCTTCCTAACTCACTCTTTGTAAGATATGATGGATGCAGCCTCAGAGGCACAACCAAGGAAGGTACAAGAAAAACTCTGGAAAGGGCACTTCCCTTGGCGGTTCCCAGTTAGGCTGCTTGGGATGTAATTTGCTGGAAAATGCAGTGTGAAATACCATGATGAGCTGTGCAGAATGAATCTATGTATGTGCGCTGATGGTATTACACACTGACATTTCAAAAAATGTTACGCTTTTAACCTGTTGAACCCTCAAACGTTTCTTTAGGAAATCCTTGATCTAAAGTAAAGCTGAGTGTCTTGTCTGCGCAATGTGCATTTGTCATGTTTGTAATAAGAGCACTTCATGATTTAATTTCAGTTTGAATATTGTATATTAAAAAAGTATTCAGCCCATCAACATGGTGAGTCATTCCTCATTTTGAAATACCCCTGGGATGAGATTGTGTCGTCTTTCTCTCTATCTCTGTGTCCAGACACACTCACACACACACACACATATGGACAAACTGTCATCACCCTGGTCCCATCTGTGTTTTTCACAGGCTACCTGGTCTGGTTTAGTCTAATCTTTTTTGGTGTGTGTACGCTGCAGGCACAAAAGTCACAGATGTCTCTGCACAGTCTGCGTCAGTTCACTCCACATCTTCGCTGAGGCTACAAACTGCAAAGAAAAGGATGAAATGAACTGCTTTGCCGGAGCTGACTTTGATTGAGTCGTGTCTTTTAAATCCCAAAGTGTCTAATTGCATCTGTGAATCTTCCTTTTCCCTCTGAAGAGTTTCATTAAAATGTACAACCCGAAAAAAACACTTATTTTCTGTTGTTCTTTTTTTATCCAGTGTTTTTGAATGACCCCGCCTTTCCTTGCCTCACCTTAAGATTCTTTGCTGACATCAATTTCAAGCCCATGTGCAGTAAATACTGTAGACTCTGACAGGGGCGTAGCACCAGATTCTGTGCTCTATGAATAAGCAGTCTCTGTGGAATCCTGCCTTTCCTCTCTTGATCCATGTCTCCCTCGTGCACCTTTTGAATTTTTTTTTGACAGAGTCAGTTTGCTTTCTGTCCCTTTCTTTTCTTTATCTCTTTTCTGCTTTGAAACCCTGATTTCCCTCTCTTGGGGAAAGAGATGACAGTGTGCGTTGGTGCTCCAGCAGCATAAGCACCCACTCAATCGGCACTAGCTGCGTTCAGAGACAAATCCTAGCGCAGGGGCAGACTATAATTTTACACCTTTCAGGGGTGAGAGGGGCCTTTCACTATTCTTCTATACAAAGTTCAGGCTTCCAAACAATTTGTTTAGCCATTTTTAATTTAGTTATGGCACCAATTTATTATGAAAAAATGCAAACAAGGCTCTTTTTTAGGCCCCCTTCTTTTGTGGCCCTGAGAAATCAGTCCCACTGCGATGCCCCTGGATTTTGAAAGGAAAGACTATCAATGTTTGGTTCAACTATTTTGTGTCAGACACTTCATTTTCTCTGCTTTGGGGATTTTTTGTGCACCAGTTTGTGGTGGAAATGTCCCGCTACTGCCTGTTTCAATCGTAAATTGCAGCCATTGCATTTGAGGTTGCATACTGCCATCAGCAACTTTATCGGAGGCATTGCAGTTCCCCAAACTAAAAAGCCCTCTGCTTCTTTCTTGTTTTCTTTGACAGGGGCAAATGCAAATTTTCTATATATTAAGGAGGACATTTTGCCTCTACGACTATGATGTCACAATCCTAGAACACAAAGCCGCTGCTAGAAAGACATGTCCACGAGGCTAGATATTCAGATAATATTGGTGCCAGTGAAATGACTAATGGCTCAGCACTTACAATCAGCGTCTCTGCATCAATGTACACAATTAGCCCTGGAAGCTCAGCTAGTGTTCTCCTCTCTAAGCCAGACATATCAGCTTTACCCTCAGGGCATCCGAGTCAGTCAAGGCCAGTCGAGGGGCCTCGGAGTACACAGTCCACATTATGCGGAGATAGCAATGTGACATGCAGACACATGATGCCTCAGAGAGAGAGCGGCTGACTGACAGGAGCCCTTCTCCTCGTATACAACCGCCTGTCAGTCTGTGCTCATCATCTGGAACCAGCCCGCATGGCAGGAGTGCAGTTCTCCCATGTGGATTACTCTTTTAGATTGGTTTTCTGGTAACACAGGCAACAGTAAAGTCAGTGGATATCAATACTGTTTACTACATGTTCCCTGCTGTGGGCCACAATCGATCCCTGTGGATACAAAAACCTTGCAGCACACGGCAGCTGGACCGTCGTTTTCAGTACTGGAGGAGAATTAACTACAGTAGCAGGCTAAAATTTAGCATTTAACCCAGCACGCTGTCAGACGTTTAAAACATTGTCAGTATTTACTCCAGAGCAAGCCACTCACCAAAAGTCTAACAGTATGCATTTATACAGCGTGTTTATCTGAAACCCGCGGCACATGTCCTTCCCCTGTCCTCTCTTCATCCCAGCAGGCTCTGTTTAAATGCCACAGAGATGTCAGTCACCTTTACAGACTCTATATGTGGACTGCAGCACTCGGAAGTCTCCTCTCTTATTACAATGTCATCTCTGGTTCGGAGCTCTGTGACAAAGGCCCCCTTTCACAGGCGTTGCGTGTCTCCTGAGTTCGATTAGCTTGGAATTCCAGTGTTCCGGATGGGAGGATCCAGAGGCCTGGAGGCAGACGTGCAGCCAATGACGAAACACCGCTCACCCCTCTCCCACTTTATAAACACCTACAGTACTGTACCAATGACAGAGCCAAGGTGCTTTGCTCAGAGCACTGAGACTCAATTTCCTGGAAAATGACACTACTTCTACACAGAATGTCCTTGGAATGCTTTTATTTCATTTCGAGACACTTGAGATACATTAGAGGAAAATGATACTGTAGATAAGGAATGGAATCATTAAGAAGGAAATGAGCAAAATTCTGTGATTAATCTGTGTTGTGTTTAATCAGTGGGTGTTAATTTGAGCGGGGAAGACAGATTACAGTTTCATTTCTTAAATAATTCAGCCGTCAAACCCTTAATTATGAGTGTGTTGGTGGTAGGTGAGGAGGTTGGGCTTTGTCAGTGTCTGCAGACAACAATTAACTTATTAGCAGAGGAGGGGACCCTAGTCACATGACTTGGACTCCAGTCAGACTGAAGTCTCAAATTTGACTTTGATCACTTGACTTCAGATTGAACAAAATCACAGAAGACTTGCACCTTGACTTGACTTTAACACCAAGGACTTTTGATTTGAAACTACTTGATACCTTCCCCCAAGCCTGCAGATTACGAACTTGTGCCACCAGCCAATTCATTTTCCTTGATTTCCTGAATCAACCAACACTAATGCTGTTCATTCCCAGTCAGCACTAAATCCCCCAGATCCACCTTGAACCAACCCAACAGCATCCAGTCAAGTTGCAGAGAACCATGACAAACCAACCTTACCTTTGTGAGTGCTAATTGGAAAAAATGATACCAAATATAATTTCATTTGTGTACAAAAACTACAAAATGGTCACCAAAAAAACAACTGCAGTATGCAAAACATGCAGTTCGAGAACTATGGACGGAAACGCAACAACATCCAATCTCGTCTGACATTTTAAGTTGCACAAAGAACAGGGAGCTGAGGCTAATATTAGCATAGTTAGCGAGCTAATGTGGGCGCTATGAGCTAATTGTGGTACTGCTTAAGAGCGCTTTGTCCTATTAAAGTGCAATGTCAGCATTATGTTGTTATGATTAATTTCAATTGTACTTGTTTTGATAAACAAATAAACAAATTTTAAAAGCACTCATGATTTTTGTAAATTTAATTTATTGTTATTCTGTGTTAAAATGACATTTCATCTGCTGAATAGCACAATATGACTTGTTTAAGACTTGAAACTCAAAGTTTAGGACCTGGGACCTCCCTGTCTTGACTACAGACTTGACTCTGGACTTGAGTGCAAAGACTTCAGACTAACTTGAGACTTGCAAAATGACTTGGTCCCACCTCCCTTTATCAGCATTTATGCAGCAAGAGGGTTCCTGGTTCAAACCCCGGGGTAGGGGAGCTGTTTTGTGTGGAGTTTGCATGTTGTCCCTGTGTCAGTGGGGGTTTTCTCCAGGTACTCCGGCTTCCTCCCACAGTCCAAAGACATGGTTAACTTGTGACTTTAAATTGCCTGTAAGTGTGAACGTAAGCATATGCGGTTGTCTATTTTTATGTGTCAGCCCTGTGATAGTCTGGCAACCTGTCCAGGGTGTACCCCGCCTCTCGCCCAGTGACACCCGGGGTAAGCTCCATCTATCCCCCAACACTATACCAGGATAAGCAGTGATGGATAATACATGAATGAATGAATTTTAGACTGTCTTTGCTACATGTCACATCAAATTATCTCTTTAAACACTGGTGACAAATCAAGTAAGCTTCACCAAACATGTCTTCCTGTCACCCTGGGAACAGCAAAACATATTTTTGTTGCACTACTTTCAAAGAACAAAGATACAACATGAAACAGAGGTTTAACTAAATCATGCACAGGCAGTGGGAATGATATGCATAGATGATTAACTGCAAAGCCAATATATATTGAGAAAATTGAAGAATGGTCAGTGAATGAACTCCATTTGCCTTTCGGTGTCTCTCGTTTATCTGTGCAGGATCTGGTTCAGAAGTCTCTGCAAAACAGGAAAAACAACAATGTTACTGATAACTCCCCCCCCCCCCCAAAAAAAACGATCAAGAACACATCTATCTGCACTCACACCTCCCTTCCTTCAATCTCTTAAGAGCAGCTCTGCATCACACAGGAGCAACTCCCGCTGCTAAATTGGCTTTCACTTCCATCAGCCTCACCCCCGAGGTGGCCGAGCCCAGGTAGGGGGAATAATTCTAGCTTGCTATCTGACCAAACACACTGCTATGCAATCACCCTCCTCTCACAGTGTAACCCAACAGCTGGAATCTCATTTCAGCCAGCATTCAAACCCAGCCACCCTCCGCCTCTCACTATCAGACCCCTCTGTGACTCTTCTCTGGACTCAACCTCTCTCTGTGTGTGTTGCTGACTTTCTGACAAAAAAAATGAGGCCTCTAAAGCACACACGACTCTGTGTTTATCGTGACGGAACACACTCCTTTTTCTCCCAATCTCGCTGCGGTTGAGCCCGGCTAATAGCTTCATTTGAGAGGTGGCGAGGTCACACTGGCATTGTAACACTCGCGGCTGCTCCATTTCCCCGAGAAATAAAATGTTCTCTTACAGAGCCATTTGACGTCACACTATGCTCTGTAATTGCTGGCTGTGTCAGTAAACCACACAGCGCTGATTCACTGTAGAATCACTGTTTAAAATGAAAATTGTTGGAGGCCTGGGGCAAAACTGTTCCCAGTTTACTTAAACGTTGGCAAACAAGACAGGCCAATCATCTTGAGATCATCTTGAGTAATAACTTGGTAAAAAACACACACATATTCTCTCTATTACACAAACACGCCATCTGAAAACGATTGTGTAATTATCTGTAAGAGAATGGAGACACCTCTTCACATATTTCACATCTCACCTGACTGACAGGTAATTCATTGTTGTGGATGAGTTGTAATGGGAGTGTGAGTGAAGGCGTACCCTCAAGTGGAGCTGAATGGATCCGTCTGACACTGAATGTCCTGAATAGATCATTCGTTTGCCACATGCCCCTCACTGCTGGAGGACATGGGTGCTTACTGTTAAAGCAGGTCCTATGCATCACCTCAACAGGGGCTCTAAGTAAAATAAGTTATGGCTGTGTGACCTTTGGCTTCTACTGTACTGAACGCCAGAATAAAACCATGGGGTAAGAAATGAAATGGGCTTAGCTGTGATGCAAGAAGGGTTTAGTTTTAATTTCTTTAGGCCAATTGTTTCCTGATCTGATTTTAAAGAATGCCCCAGTCACTAAAAGGTTAAAGATTCCACATGAAATATAACTTAAATGGATGGATTTTAATGCTGAATGCACATTTATTTGGATGATAATCCAGTGTGATAAATGACAGAGGATCTGGCTTTAGCAGTCAAACAGTGACCTCTGCTGGATGATGATCAAACCATGCTTCATTTTATCCTTGTGAGCGATGCTTATATACAGGGACACCCCTTTGAAATACACCTAACACTTCATGTATACATGAGTATGTATCATCTAGATTTTATCTAATTACAACAACTTCTTATTCTTCAAGAACACCAAAATAAACCAAATATGCACTGGTTTTGTTGAATGCTGCTGTTTAAATTTGGATATCTGTTTTTTGGTTTAGTTTGCACTGACGTTACTTATATATATACTCTTGTTTAAGGTTATATTGCATATTTTTGTCTGTATTTTAACATCTTGGGACCATGTTTGAAATAAGCCTTCCTTTGAACTGGTGTGTGCTCTCTGCTTCATTATAAACCATACAAACAAGGCAGAAATTAGAAAACATAAATTGAGAGGTACACATTCCCCCATATTAAAATGTGCTAAAAATGCCCGCCACCCCCAACATATTGATAAAAATCTAAAAAAAATAAAATAAAATACTGCTACTCTATAACAGGCAAACACACCACTGTCCGGAATAATCTATAGAAAATGTAATCAAATCAGAAATAAAGTGAATAAATTGTCATTATTATTACAATCTGTTCTAGTATTATGGTGTACTGCAGTTCTGTGTGTGGTTTGTCCAAGTGGTGTTGCCGTACCCCAGCATTACACAGCTCACAGGTGTATTCAACTATCATTAATGTCTTTATTATGTTATATTTGTAAGGTAGACTACATTAAGTGTAATGTGTGTGCTGCATGGGGGCAGGGGTGCAGACTTGGTCCCCCCTGTGTTGACTCCATGGCTGGGTGGTCCCTGCATTGAGACCCCTCAGGTTGTCTGGGACTGGTCTGCTCTCTGTTTTCAGAGTCTAAACTTAACATGGAGGAGTTTTATTCATCAAATATCTGGAACAGCCTCCAGGGTAACTGCGGGTCTGCTGTAACACTCTTTTGTTGCTGCTGCCTTTAATGAAATCAAATATTTATTCATTTCTTGCACTGCACTGTAACTTTTATTCTTGTATTTTTTATCACCTGTCATATTCAATCTTAGCTTGTTTTTCTTTTCTCTTCTCTAGGCTTTTTTTTTAATTGTATTCAAATGTACTTTTATAATGTGTTTCTTTTCAACGCGCAAAAGAAACACATTATAAAAGTATAACGTAATGTAATGTTAATGTTTTTGATGTTTTGTGTCGAACACTTGGATGTTTATGATGTTGCTGAAATGTGCTATACAAATAGACTTGTTTCATAGATCAACAAAAAAAAAACAAACAAAAGAAATATCATCTAATCAAGACTAGATAAGATAGACACTAGATAAATTAAAATATTGTTGCCATAAAATATACTATCCAGACACCTGTTTTGGACATTTCTTATCCCCATCCATGATGAATCTAGGACCTTCAGTGCCTTGTGGCCAAGTTTTTGTATATTATATTTGTTTTTTTTTTTAATAAGAACAAGAGCTAATGAGAAATCCAAAAAAATAGACAACTTACTTAACAAATAACATTAAAGGTCAAATAATAAAAGAATACGGTATGTACAAATTTGAAAATTTCATCTTTCCCCCTTTTGCCTTTTCTTTTTTTCTTACTCTAATTATCTCCACTTACACTCCACTTCACTATTTCCGTTAAGTCTGATTTTTTTTTAATGTCAGAGGACCAAAAAAAACAAACTAGGGTGACTGCCTAGGGTGCCTGTTGGAAGATCTGCCACTGTCCGCACCCACAAATATAAAATGTTCAAGTTTAGGGTGAAGTGAACTATTTGATCTGACTTTTACTTTTCAACACTAGAAAATAAAGTGGAAAAAAACAAAAGTTGTGCCTCAGCGCTGCCCACATCCTGGGTGACAAATGAGTGTGACTAGACCACAGCTACAAACATCCACACCTCCAAAAAAAACCTCCTCATCAACACCATTTCTTGCAAAAAAAAAAAAGCTTTCTAATTTTAACATGTGACCCTGGTGGAGTGTTAAACAGCATGGGATGCCGTCAGAAAACAGTGAACCCGTCGCAGCATCATTATTTGAGTTTTAATTTGACACATTTGATCAACGTTTTTGAGCAGATTTCTGCACCAAAAATAAACCCCAGCTCTACCTTTTTAAAGACATCTGCTCGCAATCTGTTGGTTTGTGATACAGCCCTCTTTTTCTCCTCGTCTTTCTTCTTTGTCACCTCTGGTAGCTTGTTGTAAATCCTACAGACACAGAAAAGGCAAATTCATACAGGGCAGGGGGAATATGGCATCAGAAGTCTGAGGGTGGCTGAGCTATGCCAGCAGAATGGCATACTAGAGACAAGGTATTATCTAGTGAGACCACAGCCGGCAAAAACCTGGATCTGCTGATAAACAGGTCTCACACAGACTCCTTTTTCACTCCCACAACTACAGCCAATTTGTTAAGAGATCCTTCAAGTCAGATAGTGTCGCTACTGAAAAAAAATTACAATGGGCAGCCATCATCTGATCAGGTGTGCCTTTCCAGATAAGGCAAAGGGGGGGAAAAAGACGATAAGGTATACAGAGGGTAGTTCATATCTGCTGTCAAGACATTTGGACATCAAACATCTATTGTATCCATACAGTATGTAGGTGTGTGACTGTGCGTCATGTTTGTGTGCAAACCTGCCGCATGCATGGCAGATATGGCAAACAAACTTGATGGATTTAAAAAAAGACAGAATAAACAAAGAGCAAGGAGAGACAGAGTGACATCGTCTGACGTGGGTTTGGTCTGGAGGACTCACCGTCTGGACCTCAGCTGCATCTCTCTGCCTGATATAGACCTCTCTCTAGGCTTGAAAAGGTTATCTAGGACATGCACATACACACACACACACAAACACAAACACACACACAGGAATAACAAATAAGAATTAATATGTAAATGAATCTTGAATATGTTAATGAACACTGAGGGCTGTCTGTGATCTCTCTTTTTCAGACACATTTGAGCATTAACACCCCCCCCCCCCCCCCCCCNCCCCCCCCCCCCCCACACACACCCACACACACACACACACACACACATCAAACACCATACAAAGCCATATCCAGTCCTATTAAGTCTGACTTTTCTGTCTCTCACAGATTGAACTGAAGTGAATTGGCAGAGTGCTGCCGCTCAGGTCAACAGCACCAAGACTCTTTGTTCATAATTAGACTTCAGACTTCAGTCAGAGACCAGTGTGAGCTATTCAAGGCTCCTTATTCCACGACCCCTCTGTGACCTTTCAAAAGTTGGAAAGCTTCAGATACCTGAAGTATCATCACTCCCTGCTTTATTAATGTTTTACTAAATGGTTGAGCGGTGAAGTTTACCGTAAATAAAAAATGACCATAAACAATCTGCTGTGATGAATGTGTATCAAAAAAAGTGTTAATGCTGGTGTATTCAGAAAGCATTTAAGAAATTCAAGTATTACCCAACCTATGCAGAGAATCAATTCCCCGTCTCGCTTTTAAAAATCCCATATTTTCTTAAAGCAGACAGAGAATCAAACAGCTGTGTTAAAACTGCTGAGAGAAATGTTGGATGTGGTGCGCGCTCACTTCAACCGAACAAAGCCTTGTCAGAGTTTATAAGTCTGACAGCTTCAGTATGAGAGAAAGACAAAGGAAAAAAAGACGGAGAGAGTGTTTTACTGAATATATAACAGTATTTCCTTCACAGAAATCATAATATACACCTTTATGACATCAAACAACATTGCAACAATTTTGAAAAATACTAAGTAAGACACCAAACGGCGCAGAGGGACACGTGAATCTATTCTTCTGTCTTCTTTGCTGACAGAGAAGACAGGCGGTTATTACATCTTGCCTGATAACTCTTTATTTAGATAGTTTACAGAGTACTATGCTGCAGTGAATAGTAGAAGTTTAATGAAATACTTCTGAGACTATGCAGGTTGTTTATGATTTGTCACAGATCTCTACAGATAATCTGATAAACATCAGCAAGGGTGTCAAACTCATTTTAGTTCATGGCTCACATACAGCCCAGTTTGATCTGAAGTGGGCTGAACCAACATCTCCAAACCTTTCCCTTTCTTTTAATGTAAAGAAGTCCATTCTTCAGAAAAATATATGCAATTCAAACAATATGTCCCAATTTCTTCACATTCACTGACATTACGTGTACATTTTTCCATACACTTCCACTCATGTATAGTGTAGTAACATCAAACTATAGTGGAAGCTGTTAACAAAGCAGGTTAAGTTATTCCCTGCTTTACAAACCATGCAGATGAAAAGTTTTGGCAGTGCCTTAGTTATATGGCTCCACCCAGGGGCGTACGTGCAGACAGTGCAGGCAGTGTGTTTGCGCTGGGGCCCTTGAGTTAGGGGGGCCAGTAGAGTAGTAGAGTGGGCCCTCCAACAATGTGTTGGGTGGAGAATGATTGACTGCCACCTTGAAAAAGTAAATGCTTTCAAAGAAGAACTCTCATTAAATTAAAAACAGTGCCATTTGCTATATATGCCCTTGAAAAAGGCAAAGCCAACTATTAAAATTGTTAAATTCAATTAATAAATTTCATGTTTTCTTTTATATTTTCTGATATGCAATGATGATTGCTGAGAAATATTTATGTTGGTGTTCTCCAATGTCAAGTCTCTGATCATGTGACAGGACGGTATGTGCATGATAGCTAGCGTGCACTGGGGCCCATTGTAACTAACTTAAGCCACTGGCTCCACCAGTATTGTTTTAAGATAGAGGTCTGATACAGATGTGTTTGTATTGAAGCTGCTGACTAACAGTGTTTTGCACAATCTTTAAAATATCTTTAAATATAAACACACTAAATATTGATTGTCGTTTCAGAGAGCTGTATTCTGGTCAGAGAGGAAAAGCCTCTGAAGCTGCATCTTACATGAATTAGTCTACTAACACTTGCTCTTGACCCCTTTTAGTCTTTACAAGTGCATCGATATTAGGTGTGCAGAGTCATCCAGTGGGCCAAATTGGACCATTTGGTAGTCCAGCTCTAGCCTGCAGGCCATATGTTTGACACCTCTAATCCAAGGGATAAAGAGAAACAGCTGAATTGTTGAATCACAATCAGTAAGCTGTTGAAATGGTACAAATACTGTATAAATTATCTGTAGGCAGACTATTCAAATCATACCAGTTTTGGATGAAAGCTTGTTTAAACCAGGCATTTTGCATAGAAATATGTTTTTTAATGTCCTTTACATCAAAGGTCTAAGAGAGAGAGAGCTGTAAGAGAGATGGAGTGGGGACCTCCTACTTCATATACCTTATAAAGTTGCATTGCATATTAAACTGGGCAGATGGAGGGTGTCAGGCAAAGGGCCATATCAGCTTCAGACTGCAGTCTTGACCTGTATTTGCTTTTCAGGTAGGTGAGGAAGGAAACTCCACTTTCACAAAGATAAGTTGATGCAAAAGGCAAAATATTTTTGGATCTGTGTTAATGTTTGAATTTTTGAAAAGAAAAAAAACTTTCAAAAAATTATCAAACAGTAATTTGGCGGCCCCCCTGCAGTAACTCTGGAGACCCCTAGGGGTCCCTGATCCCTGTTAATGACCAAGGCTTTCCATCATATCTGGCCCCAAGTTCTTCATTTCGGTGTGCCTCTGTGCTCTAAATTCATTTTTATCTGTATTTGTGAGTTTATATATAAGATGTTCTCTTTTCTTCCATATGACAAATGCTTGTTTGTTGTATTTGACCTTGTTTAATTCCTGGCTGCAAACCAATTTTGTGTGGGATAAGCAAAAGTTGGAGCAAATAGAAAAGAGAACATCACATTTATATTCTAGACACTTTTAGTCTCAACTTGTGTGTATTCCCTGCATACAGAGTTTCAGAGGAAAAAATGCTCCAACTGATCTGCAATACTAGATAATGGCCAGCAGAGAGCAAAGTTGGATAATTGCCACGGCAATATGAGGAGAATAGTATGTCAAATCACAGCTTTTTCCCACATCAGCTGAGGTTGTTGGGTTGAACATGAATTATTTGAGAAACAGATCAATATGGCATAACTACAACTTCCTTGTTTAGTTGTTTCCCAGTGTATGTGTGGGGCTCCTTCTCACCAGAAAACTATACACCCACTGAAGTAGCCTTCATCCGTGGATTTGATGAATGTGCTAGTCCCTGCAGAAGTGATGTAACGACAGATGGGGAACAAGATGAATATAGAAGACGAGGGCCTGCACTGCACTGGCTCCTAGGAGACCATCTCAAGTGGTAGACTGTGAATTGCTTGCTGTCGTCACTATAGGCTGAATGTCACACTTTCACTTCTACATATGATCTCCAGCTGGCGGCTACTGCTGACATCACGGGTGGTCTGGCAGCAGAACAGAAACCTCCTGATTGGCTGGGCAGGGAGATGAAATTGTATTTTTCTAGGTTACTCAGCTGCACTTACCACTAAGTGGATCTGGGGTGGTGCAGTTCCTCTTTTGCTTGCTTCGATCCTCCCTGAGGCCCTGCACCAGGTCTGGATTGGAGTTCTGCAGCGATTTCCTTCTCCTAGCCCTCTGCTCCAACCTCCTCACCCGACCCTGAGATCGGCTGATGAAGTCTGGCCTGAAGAGCTCCAGAGCCTCCTGGGGCGGGGGAGAAGGATATGTACAGTGAGCTGCTTGTTGGTGGGAAGAACACAGTAGAACTCATAGACACTAATCCTGTGGAAAGAGAAAGGGAAAAAAATCTTCATTGGGGTAGAATCCATTTGAAACATATCTGTAATCTTTTCCTTAACCTTGGAAAATCCTCCTCGCAGCCTCGTAATAGCTGAGAGGTATAGGCAACATGGTAATACTATGCTCAGCTTTAAGGGGGATAAAAGTAAGAGAGCTTTACTCAGGGGGGGAATCTGAATTCTTTAGAAACCTCACTGGATCTTTACCTCTCACAAGGCTGAGATAAAACTTGTTACATTAACTGGGTAGAAAGGAAAATGAAAATTCAATTAAAAGAGGAAGACGGAAAGAGAAAAAGACGGAAAACCCTGAAATCATTAAAAGATTTTTTCCTTCCCCCTCCACTTGGCAGAGGCTGTGTCAAACACCAACTAAAGCAAAAATCCCTCCAAGTGTAAAAATCACCCCTCAAGAGATGCTGCTTCTGTTGTGATAATGTTTATTCCAAGAGTAAACACATTAAGATTCTCTGTGAGGAAAACCTTAATTGAAATAGTCTAATACATCATTCCTGGGGGTCTAAAGGTTCCATATGGCACCGACACTGCACTTTTCCACATCTGATCAGTGCGTCTGAACCGCGTATAACACCGAGCAGCTATTCCTGTTATTTCCTCAACCACATAAATGACCTTTATGTTGTCAGTCTTGTCTGTGTACTTTGTAGAACCGTTATTTGTTGTATTTGCATCCTCTGCGGCTTCGCTCATTCTTTGATACTTCCTAACTTTGATAGATCAAAAGCGGTGGAACAAGTAGACAGTCGCAAATCAATTTGCCACCGTGGACTTTTATTCATTTTTAGCTTGAACCTGTGTGAAATAATCTCCTTGTTAGAGCTGACACAGTCTCCGAAAATGCTCTCAGAAAGAATAACGAACTAAACTACTTGTTTATTGTGATATTGTATTGTAGCCTTATGCACATATAAAACAGTTAAAAAATGGTCAGGGCTTGACAACAAAAAATACCTTAGCACAAGCTCCACTTTAAGGTGAACTCTCAAGAATTTACACATCAAAGTCTGTTTACAGGTCTTGGAGAGTACTACTGTGAAAAAAAAAAGTTGTATAAAGCCTTTTGTGGCTTCGGGAGGAACTGTGCAAAATCTGATAAATTGCCAGTTGGGTTTGAAGACTAAAAGTTTAAAAATGAAAAACATCTGGGGGTGTGAAGGTAGAGAGAGACGGGAGGTTACCAGACCTCTGTAGCACGCTGCTCATCTCTGCTTAAGACTAGCAGCTCAAGGGTAATTTAGCTGCAACTAGCATAACACACAAGTGTCTCCGGCTGCACTTGAGTGGCATTGTGGGGGATGTAGGCAGCAGGTTTTGACAAGGGAGAAGAATGTGTGGAGTAATAACATGTTTCAGTTGTTCTCAATGCCATGGGCAACTGCTAAAGAGAGACAGGTTACAACCTCTGCAGCCCAGTCACCACAAGAAAATGTTGTTTATTTCTGCAAACCACAAATATGTGACGTGTATGTTTTCCTAAAGCCATACATGGCCTGGCACCAAAGTACATCTCTGAGCTCCTCTGCCCCACTTCCAACCCTAGATCTCTCAGATCCTAAGACCAGTTCCTGCTGGCAGTCCTACGATTGAGACTAAGGGGCAACTGTGATCAATTAAGTGCTCCGCTTCTGTAGACAGGTTTAAATCTAAGCCTCAGACCCACATGTTTTCTAAAAACTTTGATTGTCCTTAAGGTTTCTCTTTTATCTTTCATATTTTATTTTCAGATCTTACTATTCTGTGCTTTCTTTTGTTTTTTACTTGTTTATTTTTGCATGTTTTTGGGTTTGTTATTTCTCTTACGTTTTGCTGTTACCATGTTATGTTATTTTATGCATTTTATTTTACTGTTCAGCACTTTGGTCAACTCTGGTTGTTTTTAAATATGCTTTATAAATAAATTTGATTTGATTTGATTCATATGTATCATGGACATTTCTTAAGTTAATCTTAAGTAATATATGAGCTGACTTTGTCATTCAGAAGCTGATGGCGTGGTGGATGGTGAGACACCTGCCAAACCCTCTCCTTGCCAAACTGCAGACCATTACAGACCACTGTTTGAGCCCAAAAAATAACAAATCCAGTTGCTTTTTAGCAAGTCATCACTCGGTATCCACTGGGCATAGTGCCATGAAAGGTGATTGTTTTCTACAAAGTCATTACTGCGTACCTGCTGGGATAGTGCCATGAAAAACGGTTTGTTTTTTATCAAGACGTTGCTGTGTTTTCAGTTGGGTTAGTGCCACCCTCACTGGGTGTTTTAAGCCAAAACATGTTTTTTTTTCCTAACCATAACCAAACCAGATTGTTTTTTCTTTTCCTAAACCTGACCACACAAAAACCACAGTGTTGTTTCAATGTATCTGCTACGTATTAATGTGCAAATGTAACATCTGTGGTTCTGTGGTTTGCAGAAACGTATACTGCCAACATTTATTCAGGTGATTGAGTTAACTGCTACCACATATCACATGCTATCCTGTGATAAGTAGTCTACTCATGTCCCTAGATGACTGGGCCGGTCATGATATTTATGTTATGGACGAAGTCAGCATAATTATCGAGGTCATGTCCATATAGTGTACAACATTGTCCATTAGGTTTACATACGTGTTTGTCTATGTAAGAATGTCAGCAACATTTCAGCCAACACTCCACCAGAATAAACAGCAGGGTTTTTCCAACCATTTATAAAACTTGGGAGCAACTCCTATGTATTTTTTTCAGTGTCTAAGTCAAACGAACAGGAAAAAAACAAAAAATACAAATCCAGCTGAATCCAATTGAACCCAACCAAAGCAAAGCAAAGCAAACCAAAATAAACCAAAATAAAATAAAACAAAACAAAACAAAGAAAAAAAAAAGCGAAAAAACAAACCAAAAAGACATTTTGCAAAATTCTGCTGTAATTTCTGGTTATTTAGGTCTTGGATATTTAAATTTTTTTTCACCATTCCAATTCAGGTGTACTTGCATTATTATGCTATTCTGATGTTATATAAGTGGTATAAAATGGTCTTTAAATGACAATACTATAGTGTATAGCAATTATCTCTTAAACAATATATTGTCCACCAAATATATTTACCATGACAGGCTTGAATTATGTCCATCTCCATGACAACCTAGCAAACTTAATCTGTTAATAAAAGCCATGAGGTGGCCACAAGCTCCAAACAATGTGTGACTTGTGACAAGAATATTTTTGTCAAACTGCTTCTTCCAAGGTCTATGACGAATGTTCAAGCTCAGTGTTAGGTTTGCCTTGGAGCGCCTCTAGCTTGTTCCTATTGTGCATTAGTATAGGTAGATATTATTTGAACTGTGGCTCCTACTTGGAGGCTGAGAGTCTTGGCTGTGCCTTCCAGAGAATTGGCCTTAAGTTGGGAACGACAGGTTTGATCCGAGACATGTTGAGGCTCCAAGGAAGAGTCATGTTGTTGTTCCTCTGTCTTTTCTCTCCCAGCTTGCTTGCTCCAAGTTCTGGAGTCCACTTGAGAGACACAGAGAGAAGTGAAATGGCTGTAAACTTTAAATCGGAAAGTCACATCATTCCCAAAGAGAAAAGAAAGGAAACAAAAGTAGAAAAAGTAAAAAGTGGATTGGAGAGCAAAGAACAAGATTGTTTTCACAGGGTAACTTTCACAGGGAGAAATAATTTGAAATAGATGTGTGTTTGTGCAGTTTGTGATGCAGTTTGTTACAATTTGATGTTATATAAAAGACATAGAGTGAATGTAATTCAGAAGACTGTATTCTTCCTCTTACACTCAGTTATAGCACAATTTGCACAATGTTCTCGAGTTCTATCCGAGCTTTTATGATCCGCAGAAAGCAGGAAAATGAACAGACCTCACACTGACCCTTACACACACACACAAACACACACTACCCCCACAACTCATAGCGAGAAAAAACCCAGAGGGAACATGAGTGTGGCCTATGAATAATGCAAAAGATGACAGTGCATCCATCCTGCACCCGTAACCCCATTCCTCTACCTTCTGTGGAATACATATCTCCACAGAATTCCCTGCCATGACCATGTGGCACGTAGGAAGAGCATCATTACATGGTCCACGAAGCACACGCAAAAATGTAATGTCGCCAGTCAAGTTATTGCTACAGGATATGTCTTGCCCTTCAGACAGCGGACTAAATGAAGTACCAAGTGAGAAGAACAGAAGTTTAAAGAAGAAAACGCATGAGGGTATGGGATGATGCAGAAAATAAATAATGAGTGTAGAGAGGGCTTTAATTATTAAAAAGTGTCGTGTTGCAGTTGTTTTTCTTGAGACAGCCAAAGTAACAGGGGAGGCAGGCAGGTAAAACTGCTTCAGGCAGTGACATCACTTTTTTTTCTTTTGTCATTGTGGCTGCGAATTCCGGTACAGTATGAGTCTACTAAGTGTACATAAGGTACAGCAGATTAACTGTACTTATCAATATTAATTAATTCAGCTTACCTGTGCTGCTACAGTAAACCTGCCCAGTTGCTAGAAGAAAATATTGCCATTGTATGTTTTGGCCAACTACAGAAACGTTAAATTTGTATGTTTCAGATGTATCATATCAGTGTTTCTAAAGATATAAGCTGACTTTGTCTTTGGGATGTGTAGGTCAAGATAGATGGTGTGACACTGAGGAAACTGCCAAGCTGCAGATCACTGTTCAAGACCAACAAACAACAGAACTGGCTTTCTAGCCACCAAACATAGGTAGTTTTTTTTTTAGTAACCTGTCACTGTGTTTCCTGCTGGGATAGTGCCATGAAAAGAAGTTGTTTTTTGCCGTGTCAATGCTGTGCTTCCATCAGCAACAGTGTCATTAAAAAGGATTTTTAATGAGACACCGCTGCCTATCCAATGGGGCCACCAAAACCAAGTATTTAAAGCCAAAACATGATCTTTTCCTATCCATTGCCAAGTAGTTTGTGTGCCCAAGCTAACCACACCTTAACCACAGCATTATTGAAATGAAGTTTAAATGTATCCCATACATAATAATGTGCATATGTAACCTATACGTAGTTTGCAGAAATGTAAAATGCCAACATTTATTCTGGTGATTAGGTTTCTAAACCCTGATATTAAAGAAATGGTTTTGACAATTTGGATAGCACTATTTTTGGATATACTATTATATTTACTTTTATTATATATTTTCTTGTGGATGCAATAATTGATACCTTTCTCATGTCTATCCATTTAATACGAAGCTACAGCCAGCAGCCTTTAGCTTAGCCTAGCTTAAAGAATGTAAACAGGGGAAACAGCCAGACTATCTTAGTCAGGTGCAGTCCTTTCTTGTGTGAGATTTCCAGGCAACCAGCAGAAGCTAAGTCAGATAGTCCCCAACTTAAGGCCCTGATCGCACAGAACGCGTTCCAGCACCTATAGGCAGCTTTGTAATTGTTTTTAATGAGAATCAAGCTCTGTTTTTTTTTTTTGCGTTACGATGTGCCTTGCGTTTCTGTGCTCTACGTGCCTCACATTTTTGCCCGAGCACTCTGAACTCCTGGAATTGAAAAGACTTCAACTCAGAGTGGAAAAACGGCCCACGTCATTTCTTTTTAGTAATCTTTTTCCCCATTGTACAAGTGGATGATCTGAGAGGCGGGCCTTCTGTGGTGGTCACAAGTTTACAGTTGGTAAACAATAGAGGAGAAACTGGTGGTAGAGGTTGCTGGATACCGCTACTATACATCCCGACGATAGTCAGCAGGTTGTCAAACTGCCCCAGAGTCATTCTAAAATATGCCTGGAAACAGCCATCATGAAGGAGAAGCTCATGGACCAACTGGTGGTACACCCCATGATCCACCCTCTTTTTAAGGGTCTCATGTACCCACACAGATCTCTGTCTCCCTGTGACCAACACATTGTTTACAGACAGCCTCTCGGCCTCAACTAAGCTAAGGCAAGGTAACAGCTGCTGGCTGCAGCTTCATACTTAGCATGCAGACATGAGAGTAATGTCGACGTCCTCATCTAACTCAGGAAGAAAGCAAATAAGCATATTTCCCAAAATGTTGAACTACTCTGTTAAAATGGCATAAATGAATTAATCAGCTACCTCTTAGAGGCCCAAACCTGCAGTGTAACATCCAATTCTGTTGCTTTGGGACTAGTATCATGTGTTACTTCCCATTTATATCACCCCGAAGACAGTCTGCCACAACAATTAAACCGGAAGCTCCACAGTGGCATAAACCAAATTATAGTTCTTAATACAGCCCTCATATAACCTCGATCCTATCCTCACTTCTGTACCAAGAGACCTGGAGAAAGACTGTTTAAAATCATGCAAATCCAGTCTAGTCAGCCCACTCTTAATATATACAGCAGTTCATTATTTAAGATTTTTATATTGAAGTGTTGGAAGTCAGGGGAGGATAAATGAAAGTGTTTGTTCTTTATTTATATCTGCAGTCAGGCTGATTGTGTGTGTACCAGTTGGGATTTATCTTAAACAATATGAATGTACAGTAGGAGCAGTGTGGTGGGTGGGTGTGGTCTATTAACAATGCATGAGGTATAAATCAAAAGAGAGGCAGATTGGAAAAAAAAAAGACTTTCCAGCCTCTAAGACCACCTTGGCACCGCATTCAGCTTGCTGTTACACCTTGGAAATGTGATCTTATCTAAAATAGCTTAAGAATATACGGGCCACTGAAAGGAATACACAGATCAATCGCAAAAGGTACTTTAGATTCTCACTTCTGAAGCAAGGGGATAAAATTCATACCTGGGCCAATATTGGAAGTGTGCTGCCTGTGCCTGAAATTGCTACGGATAGGGAAGGCTGCCTCATCTGCATTCCCCTTCTGCCTGCCAGCCTTTGTGTTTGAGGGGCTTGGCCCTCTGAATGACAATAATCCCAAAGTAGTGCTGTGGCGCTGTGTGCCTGAATCATCAGCCTTGCTGTTAACACCATGAGCGGGTGCTATTTGCTCGACCTTGTGGCCCCTGTGCTTTGATAGAGGGCTTCTGCTGCACTGATCTGAACCACTCTCTCGGCCATTGCGCTTGTTTCGCCCCAACATGGCCGCTCTGGGTCTCCCGTAACCCTCATTTATTTTGCTTGGTTTGTTATCTGTGGAGGATCTGAGGCAGGATGAGACACCGAGGCGAACAGACAAGGTAGACCTGTACAAAGGGGGTCGACCTGCTCTTCTTTCCTCTAGTTCCACAAGGGAAATGGAAAGTGACTTGTCCAAAAACAAAACAGAGCTAGTGGACCTCAGTGGCACCTCAAGATGGATACAAGACCGGTAGGAAGGCTGTGAGGACAGGTTCATTAACGAGCCACCTATCCTGTCCAGCTTTCTGTTGCTCTCTGTGCAGTTCAGTCTGCGTTGTACAAGTTGTACTTTCGTCTTCCCTTGATCTCTCACTGCCAATCCATCAGCTGGTGAGTAGGCCTGTCTGAACTCATTTGGCTTCAAGACAGAAAGATTCTGTCTGCACACGTCCGTTTGGGAGTTTGACACTCTCATTGTGCTCGTGGGTATGGATGAGGCTCTTCCTTCAAAACTTTCCGGTAGTTTCAGTGGAGTTGATGCCTTCACAGGCTGTGCTGGAGAGGATGGATACACGGGGTCCTGTGGTGACAGCAAAATCCTCTGGGCTGCAATGGTGATGGAGGAAAATGCTGACTTTGGCCACCGTTCCACCACATCTGGGACACTCGCAACCCTGGACAGGTTAGAAACTCCCCTGTAAGATCGGCTATCTGCAGTCTGAGCGGAGGCAGAGTGTGTTATTGCTCTAAGAGACACACTCTCCTTCTCCTCTTGCCCCCGCCACACACCCCATGACAGGACATTCCTGTGCAGTGAAGCAGTGACATCCTTACTTGAGGCCTGCGAAAAGAGAGAGAAAAGGAAAAAGACAGCTTCATATCAGAGTTGTGCCCAAAGTGCGCAATTTACTCCTCTGCAAACTGAGAGACTGTGTAAGTCAAATTAAACCGACAAAGACGACAAATTCAAAAGATATTAGGCGCTGTGATGTGGTTGGAGGGACTTATTTTCTGCCCGACTTGTTTCTTGATCTATTTCTGTTGCTGTGACAATGTGTAACTTGATAGGCAGCACTTGGGGACAAATTAGCCATGACATTTAAAATGAACAATCAAGATTTGTCTTTTGAAAAAACAAAAACAAAAACACTACCAGTCTCTCCCAATATTTCTATTTTTTTTTTAAAAATCAGTTTAAAGAATCCAGCAAACTCTGTTCACATTGTCGGCTATAGAGTATTCTGGAGTTATACCTTCTATCCTGCTGCTTTTGTACCCAAGATACCTCATCGGTGAACATTTTTCTTTCTCTCTGTTTGAAGGGCAAACAATTACAAATCTTCCTCAAACAGCTCTAGTGTTGGCTCACATTCCCAAGACCCAAATGTCAGGAGAGTTTTACACAAATATAATTTTGCTTAATGAATAATTTTGTCTCTTGTTTGAGTGTTATTGTTAACTGTGGTAATGGAAATCTAAAGATATCACCTCATTATATCAGAGATCAAACAACATATAATTATGGAGGAGACAGTATTCTGTGACATATTCAGACATGGAGTGAAGGAGGTGACATTGATGCAATTTTTAAAAAGCTAGTGTGCACTGTATAAGTCGCATGCATGCTTTAGTAAAGCACACAGCCGCTTTAGGTACAGTTTTGTTTGTTTGTTTGTTTGTTTATTTTTACAGGGACAGCACGCAATTAAAAGTAATTGCACCAGAGTTAGCTATCAGCTAATTTGCATCTGTTGTCCCTGAGCAGGTAGGCATAAAAACATCAGCAACAGAACAGCAGATACACCACATAAGACAGCACAATGCATAAAAGTCCATCAGCGTGAGGAATAAAATCAGTATGATGAATGTGATAATTACAGAGCAATCACTGGAGATGACACTATTGTGCTGACTTTAGCCAGAGCTTAAGGTTGGTTGTAATCACTGTAATGCTTTCTGAGTCTCTAATGATTGTGGGTATGGAATTCCACTTCCTCACTACTTTAACAGGGAAGGCATATTGACCAAAAGCTGTCTTTCTGTACCCGGTCACTGATGCTCTGGTCCCACTGCCACTGATGAGATAGGCCAGGAATCCTCTAAGAGTAGACGGTGTGAGATCATGAATGATTTTAAACAGCAGGCATACATCAGAGTAGAATAACAAGCTATTGAAATTGAGGAAATTATATTTTTTTGAATAATATAGTTGGAAAACGGTCTCTAATTAAGTTGGAATCTCAGGTGTTTTAAAAATGCATGGCGTTCAGATCAGATTTAACTTTATTGTCACAGCAGGGACAACGGGATGCAGTTAGCAGATAACCAGTGGAGACAGAATGTGAACAATGTCATTAAGTGTTCATTTTCTTTAACCATGTATCCTGTTGAGGGTCATGGGAGGCTGGAGCCTATCCCAGCTGACACTGGACGCGAGGCACATTACACCCTGGTCAGGTCGCCACACTATCACAGGGCTGACACATGGAGACAGACAACCTTTCATGCTCACTTTCACATCTACAGCCAGTTTAGAGTTACCAGTTATTCTAGCCTGCATGTCTCTGGACAGAAGCCAGAATATCTAGAGCAAACCCACACTGACACGGCAAGAACATGCAAACTCTGCACAGAAGGGCTCCCCCACCACAGGTGCTGTACGAACCAGGAACCTGTAAGGTGACAGTGCTAATCACTGTATCACTATGCCACCCTGAATAAATATGAATACATTATATATCAAATAGTCAATATAGACAGAAGATAAGCATAAATATGCACACTCCTCCACGACTTCTCAAAACATCTGTTCAGATCTGCCAGCAGCACTTGCAACGCACACTGTGTCCAATCTGCAGGTTTCATTTTCACATGCATGCTTTACTCAAGGGCACACATGCTTTAGTGCTAGAGATGCTGTCCCCCTACCCAAGCAAATTTCAGAAGAAATCCTCATATTATAGGTCAGTTTCTGTTTTTCAGTATTGAGATAAGCTGGAAAAACACACTTTAATTTCCACCTCTACTCTGACCAAGCTGCAGCATCCAGGGCTGAAAAATGAAACCACTGTGGAAATGCCAGAAACGTCAGCTCCTTGAATGACCACCTGAGACCGACTCGGGTCAATCCCTATCGACCCCCATGTTTAACTGATTTTTTTACAGCACAAATAAACATGTTTACAACCTACATAAAATGGTTTTCATCTCTATGGCTAATTTCAACATTCATGACAACTGTACAGGGGATGAATTTTTATATTCTTCACCCCTTTATATTTTATTAAGGCTTAACGTTACGCATATTCAAGGCCCTGGCCACTTAAGCAACAGGCGGCCTGCAAGGCGTCACTACAGTCTGTAAGTCAGATCCACCCCTCGCTCCGCCACATCTCCAACCTCCAACCTCTTGCCTAAACATGTAACCTGGAAATCCAGATGCCCCGCCCCTAGAAAATTCAAATTTGCTCTGCACGGCGATCTGGCCCCGACGAGCAGAGCCTGGTGAATCACCATCGGACCAATCAGATGAGTCTATCTGACAGAGGCGCTCTGGGCGGGCGTAACATGATGAGGACATGATGAGGACAGCCATAGGAGTCGAAAAGTAAACAGCCAAGATGGCAGCTGCCGAAGGACCACGTCCATTCAATTTAGCTTTGAAAGAAACGCTAAACCAACTACACTTATCTTTTTCCTTGAGAGAGGAACAGAAGACTGCCCTGGAAGCCTTCGCTTCCAGGAAGAACATTTTTGCCGTTTTACCGACGGGATACGGCAAAAGCATATCAGTTAGCCCCACTCGTCGGCAAACCAATGGGGCTTAGTGCAATGAATACATCACCTTGTTTTTTGCTCTGCTATCCAATTGCGTGCGGCAGCATTCAATATGCCTCAGTTAGTGCCGCCTCTTGGGTAGGAAGGGTGTATTGGTGAGGGCCAGACTCAAAATCTCTCCAGATTTGAGTCTGGATTTCCAGGCTACTAAACATGGTCACTAGCTCCCAAAAACAAGATGACAATGACCAAAGTACCAAACTCGAGGCTTCAGAAGAGTCTCCAACATCAATAGGTGACATCACGGTAGCTTTGTTCATTATTCTTATACAGCCAGACAAAAACACATAGATGACACATCCATTCTAGGCCTCATCTTCAATAATGATGAAACCTAGTACCACACTGAGGTACCCAAGATGTCACGAATAATGAAGCTACAAACCCTCACTTCCTGCTTATCTATCTATCTATCTATCTATCTATCCGAATCTCTAGATAAACAGTAACAATTAACCTCTTACAACACTTACTGTCTTCCCATTCTTGACCACATTCCTCCAATGAAAATCAGAGAGCTAGTCAAACACCCTGCTTTGGCCAAATGATCACACGTGATGCCTGAAACAACCGTGCAGAAAATTGGAATGCAAATGGAAGTTGATAAAGTCTGCAGTTTTTCCACAACGCTCTCAAAGAATATACAGCAAACTAACAGGGAGCAGTGAAAGAGGCAAGATCAGCATATATTTCAGACAGAATATCTAATATCCAATAACCATAACCCCAAAGTCCTATTTAAAGTAATGAGCTCTGCTCTCAGTGGACCAACCAATTCAGATCTTGTACGTGGTAATGATTGGATAGAGACATTTTTCTGCTCACTTTATTCAGAAGATAGGGAGGATTCAGTGTCGAATTTCACCTGATCCCCAACATCTACCCACATTCAACAATGATTTTGTTTCTTTCACCTCAACATTTCAGCACTTAGTAAATCTGTTTCTCATATGACATCCTCTACCTGTGTTTTAGACAGTATCCCAACAAAGTTTTTAAAAAGGTATTTATCACTGTTGTCCTTTTATTTGATTAATAATTACTAGTTCTCCGACTTCTGGCATCTTTGCAAATGTTTCTAAGCATGTAATTATTCAGCTGCTACCAAAACACCCTAATCTGGATCAGTAATTACTGACCAATTTATAAATGACTGTTTTTATCTAAGGTGGAAAAAGTAATTTTAACTGAATTAATCTCTGCTATTGTAGTTTTTCCTAGATCTCGGCTTGTGACCAAACATGATCTGGGCTTTTGCTATTAGACCCCCCAAACACCCTGCAAACTGAGTTCACACAGGCTACATCATTAGCATCTTTTAAATCCCTTGTTAGAACTTTCTTGTACATGAAAGTATTTATGGGTATTTAATATGCTGCTGGGTTTTATCATCCCTCACTGGTTATTTTTTATATATTTTTTAAACTTGAATTCATCCTCCTGTTTTGATGTTTTTATGACCCCTCTGTTGTTCATATTTTATTTTATCTTTTTTTTTTGTCTGTCTTTTTTTCTGTAAAGCATTTTTTAACCTTGTAAAGAAATGTGTTATATAAATGAAGTCCATTATGATGTGGAATATAATCTGAGAAAGGATGCTGTTTTGTGAGACCTTCTTTTACTTCATTAAACCTCAGTTACCTGAGTACTGAAGTGCCATGGGGCAGGGGAATGGTGTCGTCGTTGCTAACGTGTGTGTATGTGTCTTATGGAAGTGCGCACGAAACAACTGACTTAAAGCATGCGGATGCTTTAGTAAGATGTGTATCCGACTTAGACCTACTAAAGCAAGTGAGCAACTTACAACGTGCATGCTTTGTAAACATTTTTATGCCTCTGCGCCAGCAATAATTGTGGCTGGAGTCATTATGTTTTCTAGTTGTTCGTCCCATTCTCCTTAATGTGATATCTAAGATAAGAATGCAGGAGGGAATTTTCCAAATTTTGGCACAAACATCCATTCACTCAGTGTTAAAATGATAAGTGAAAGGTCAAGGTCACTGTGACCTTGTCTGTCACATTCTTCCAGGTGTTATATCTTGAAACACCTTGAGGAAATTTCTTCAAATTTGGCACAAACGTCCACTTGGACTTGTTGGGAATAGAATGATGTTATGTGTTTTACTATAAGTTGTGTTTCACTATATAAGTTTTAGATGTGTGAACAATGAGAATACTGAGATGATTTCAGCTGATCTGAATGTGTTTGCTTTGCAGAAGTGGAGAAGTACAGGAGAGGAAGAGACATGAAGTCTGAGGAGCACATACCGCAATGCTTAGATAATTAGTTTCATATATGGTAAAAAGAATAGAAAGTGATATACAGATAGTAAGGTACAGCACGTGTAGGGAGTTGTGTTGTTCTCTTGTCTTTCAAAACAGGAACCACGCCCCCACCGCCAGCGGGAAGGAGTCAGATTAACATGAGGCAGGGGCGTGGTGTGGTGAAGGAGGAAGTGGAACTGCCAATGAGAAGAGGACAACGCCTTGCGTGCACAATGACACTCTGTTACGCTCAAATATACTGGGTCAGGGAAAGGACAGGAGGTCAGACTTCGTGAACTGACACACCTTTGTTGTTCGTCAGGGACGTGAAGTTGAGACCCAGAGCTCTGTAATTTTATTCCTTTACTGCTTAATAAACTACATTAACTGAGACCGAATATCTTCTCCTATTGCTTCATTAAAGAACACGCAGGACTGAGCTCACACATAGCACATTAGAGAGTAGGATGAGACTCTTAGTCCATCAGACTCCAGAATGAACAGATGAGAATTTGGTGATCAAAGGTCAAAGGTGAAAGTCACTGTGACCTCACAATACATGTTTTTGGCCAAAGCTCAAGAATTCATATACCAATCATGTCTATAGAGTAAAATGATGAAGTGATGACATTTTTTTATCCAAAAGATCAAAGATCAGCATCATTGTGACATCATAGTATTTTGCAAGAACACTTTTATGGCCATTGCTCAACATATTGCCATAGCTCAGGAACAGAAGGAGAGACATTTGGTCAGATACTGAATTGGTGGCACTAATTTTGGGTGCCCACCTTGAAACTGTTTTCATTCAACATGTTCTCATCCCAAACTGTTGCATGTTGCAGCTTTGTCAGTGGACTTTTACATCTGCATATTATTCACTAGGCATCTCTCTGCTTCTGCTATTGACATTCCAGGACATGCTAACAACACTAGGACGTCAACAAAAGTACATGGTTTGGTTTAAAAAAAACCCATCTTGGTTAGCATTCCTGAAGTAAACACTAGCCTCCCGTGTGAAAGTCCAGGCTTTGTTGGACACATATAAGGACACTATAAGGACTTTGCAGCTCCTAATATTCAACCCGCACTCACTCCAAAGTCGTTGAAATCCGGCCATTGGTAGGTGACTTTTGGGGTCAGACACCAACGAAAAAAGCAGTGCTCTGACGTCGGCATACATAGCCGGTCGTCATTATTGTTTAATGGCACCCTGCGGCATCAGGGGGAAACACAGTGGGACAACAATGAAAGTTAAGGTGGCGGAAGTCCCACTAGGGCTGGTAGGAGGGGTGGTGGATAGGTACAACAAGCACCAACTTTCACCAGGGAGGCTGGTGTTTTCTTCCCGTAAGATTGTAAAGTCAAATCCTGTTCTTTCTGCCTGTATACAAATTTTACATTTCATGTGAAAATGTAAGTGTATTCTGAAAATAGACAACGCATGTAAAAGGCAGAACTTGCCATCAGTGGCTTACCATGCCACTACAAAAGGTGCCATTCCCGCTGTTCCATGGTATATCATAACAATGCAAATGGTTGTGTCTGGCTGTGTTACATATTGATGCCACCCGGCCGCGTATCATACGGTATTCAATAACTTCGGAATGAGAAAGGGCTGGTCGATTGTGTTAAGCATCCATGTTTTTACAGGCATGAATAGAAACTGTAACTGCAACTTGACTGCAAGGTGGTTATTCTAGTTTGTCAATGCCTCGTTAATGTCACTCCATATGGGGTGTGCACAGAATAGCCTATGTGTTTTTGGTTGACAGTGATGACTGTCATATTGCTCTGGCTCAGACATCCACAATAACAATCATTTTAAAATCTACTGAACAAGCTTTCCCAGAAAACATTAAAATTAGATTTTTATTTCACTGTATGTTTTCTTCCTTCAGGCAAACACCATTTGCATCTTCAAGTAACAAACAGCGTAGGTACACAATGACAGTGCAGCAGTGTATTTGCAGAAACAGTGTTAAGTAACTTTCCAGGTCATAAGACATTGGGTAAACAGACAGGTACACCCAGTGCTGTTTACCTCATTGATGTTAGGTGTCGATAAACATGGGAATCTCTGACTGTGGAAACCCACTGACATCGACCAGCTGTCTTCTATTTTCTCATCTGTTGGTTCAAAGCAGAGAAGGGAATTTATTGTACATTAGATCACTGCAGCTTCTGATTTTAACTAGGCTGCACACACCACATGACATAAAAGGGAAGTCCACTTCAAAGGCAACTTGAAACACAATTATCAGACTTACCTACTCATCACAAAAGTACAGCTATCCTGTCACTGAAAAAAGTCTTTCTGGTAATACTTCAATATTGCATTATTCACTTCACTTTATCTTTCCATCATTTATTCCATGCTTAGAGCCATGTTCATTCCTACCCATCAGCAGTGAAAATTAAAATCAATCTCTCTCTTTCTCTGGCTCTCTGCTGCTCAGCTCAGCTGATGACGACTCTCCTAACATAGTTATCTGCCTTTGCTTGCCTGGCACATTTTTGATTATTCCTTAACACCAAACAATAGCTTAAATGTTTAGGCCTATTGTTTCAGAAGGCATAGGAAGGGGGTTATCGACTCATTTTATTCACCACTGAGTGTAATTCAGTTTTATAATCATGATACACCAAGTGCACTGCTCTCAATTCAGCTGGTTTAAAGCCCAATGTAGCCCTAACAGTTAATAAAACTGAGATTGTAACAAATGGAGGCATAATTTACTCTAAACAAACCTGTCAAGCGTGCAGAGCATCCATTCTGTGTTACACAATGTCACGGTGAGACCCCGCAAATTGAAGTCATGTCGTTTGCCTGTTAATATGTTTGCATGAATGGGACAGTTCATATAATACAAGGGAAGTAATTATGTTTACCCCGTGTGTTCCTCTTTGAGGTGAGTCACATGGGATGGGAATGCTGGCTCGAACAACAACACTGAAATAGAAGTTTATACATTCACAGTTTCACCCCATTTTTCCTTTGATTTATTTTTGCCCAGCCAGCAAGTGTAATTGGGGGAATAACATTTTTCTAATGTTGCACTCAACAAAAGAGGGTTGGTTAGGAGTTTGTTTGTGCGGGAGGAAAGGAGCCTGAAGGACATATGGCTTAAAATGGGGAATTAAACGGAATAACTAGAATGAGCAGTGAAACAATGGAGGCAGAGGGTGACACAAGTCTTTTAACTAGAGAGGGATATTCTTTAACATCAAACAGCTGGTGTGAACACTGCAGTGTGTGAGAGAAATGCAGATGGATATAGGTAATTGTGCATGTATATATGTGCATAGACTGTATGAGTGTGTAGGTTTTTCCATATTGTTGTATGAAGGACAAACCTGAATAAATGAGCAGGGAAACATAACAAATGCAGATGCTTTCATATGGGGAAAAAGGGCTCGCTGTATTGTTTAGTCGTATGAAAATGATGACAATTATGCTGCTGTATGGCCTTCACAGTCACCGGATCTCAACCTAAATCAAGGCATTAGGGAAACAGCTCTAGACAACGACTTTGTTGTAATGAAGGAATATCTTTTGAAGAATGGTGTTGATCATTCTGATAGACTGCTGCAGACTTGTCAAATCTATGTGTAGTAGTATTGAAGCTGTAGTAGCCCAACACCTCATTAAAAAAGGCATGTTATAGTATTGTATGTGTAGGAATACAAATTCACTCCCGTTTTCTCTACCAACTTTTTAACTCACCTTTTAAAAAAATGTTTAAGTCGTGGTAACATGATAAAGAGTGCATGAATAAACAATATACGTTGTTAAATGAGACTTATCATGCTCATTTGTTAAGGTTAATACTTGTATTTTGGGTTATTACTGGAAACCATTCTATTTTCCTCAAACTGCCTGCACTGGAACACCTGTATTCATAGTCTGTATGAAGCGCTTCATTTTATCACCTGTCTCTTTAAGCCCATCTCCTGAAAAAGCCCAGTCTGCTCTGATTGGTCTTCCATTTCTAGGCTCACTGTTTCCCTGCTCCATCATTGCAGTTGGGGGAATGATAGCACTGGATTACTGTGGAGCTTTCAACACTCCGAAATCGGGGAGAGATGAACAACATCGGGAACCAGGAGCATGTTTCTCTGATGTTAGCATGTATGATGTAGCTACATGTAGCAGTGTACTTGCAGCTGGAAAATGGAGTATAGTGGTAGTTTCTATCATGAAAATTTACCAATAAAATCTTCTAAATCTTAAATCTTCACTACCAGCATATCCCAGCAGAATATGACCTGAAATCGGGGAGAAATTAACAACATCAGCAAGCAAGATTGCATGTTTCTCTGATGTTAGCATGTAGCTACATGTAGCAGTGTATTTGCAGCTGGAAAACGGAGTATAGTGGTAGTTTCTATTGTGAAAATTTACCTATGAAATCTTATAAATCTTAAATATTCACTACCAGCATGTCCCAGCAGAATATGACCTGAAATCAGGGAGAAATTAACAACACTGGCAACCAAGATTGCATGTTCCTCTGATGTTAGCATGTAGCTACATGTAGCAGTGAGCTATGTAATGCAAACATTTGCAGTAGCATGCCTGTAGCAAATGACCATATAAAGAAATACATCACAAGCCAGCATCAGCTTGTCTTAAAAGTAGAAAAAATATATTAGAAACAGAGCATTCAGAATGATCTGAAGCCTCATGTTTTTGCTTGCAGGGATTGCTTTTACATATTTTTACCTCATTATTTGAAACTTTTGCCATGTTTATGAATGTTCCATATTGCAACATTATGTATATGACAGACAATAAGGAAAGGCACAATAGATAATAATAATAATAATGATATTCAAAATGTTTTTTTATTGTCATGAAAAGACTAAAGTCAAATATGAATTAATCCTACTTACAAATATTCCCTGTGTGGCTAAAGCTTGATACACATGTTCCTTCATCAGAATGGATGTGGGAGCTACAGTTTATTGAGTCAATCCCACATAAACCTTCCTGCCATAAATACATGTAAGTCTATTTCCATGCTGGTTAGCATACATGACTAAAACACAATAAATGCACTATTCACGCTTGTCAGGGGTATATTTACTAAAATCTACAATGCCCTACTGTTTTAGAAAATAACTGAAACTTTTTTAAAAACTGAAATTATGTATTTGTGAGCATTTTTTAAAAAGATGTATGTCTTTGGCAGAAAAAAATGTCTTGAGGCTGAGAGACACAGACAAAGTTGGGCAGGCATTGAGAGACAGACACATTGTTGGTTTTCATCTTGTTGACATAAAAATATAGACTATAGCCAGCCTGTTTCTTGGAAAGTAAACCTTATACAGCAAACAAAGAGTCTGTGAGAGACGGAGAAAAATATGCAAGACGTGTCGGAGAGGAAAATAGAAACAGAGTGTGTGCTTGTGAGAGAGACGCAGTGACAGCACGCAGAGAGCGAACAGGGTTCGTACTTGGCTAATGTGACCATATGCTTATTGTTGCATGCATGGAATCCAGTGATTGAGTGAACCTTTGTGCTCCTGACAGTGCCAGGAACAGACAGGGAGGCCATGGGACCTACAGCTGGTTAGGAAGCAGACAGGCTTTGCAGAGCTGTGGGGTATATGAGAGATAAACCCATCAGCACAGCCAGTGCAGAAATGCGGCTCATTGAGGGAGCGCTGGGACAAAACGCGGGTATTCAGATGTGTCATAAGTGCTGGTGTTAGCTGAGGTTATTCTTGTTATGGACTAGTCTTATAATCCTCACTTTTTTTTTTTTTACTTTTTGTGCATGATTTATTCCTCTGCATGGTGTCCATTTTACCTACAAAGAAACCTACTGACTTGAAATTGCTTCTCGTAGGAGACATATATGTATGCTGCTGATGCACATTACTTTCTTAACACACGTGTGTTATTGGTCAGTGAATCACGGATAGTACAGATGATGTACTGTACCTGCTCCTTGTTGTTACCTGCAGCAGTTACACACTGGTTTCTGTATTAGAGCAATTTGTCAGACTGAGTCAAGCATGCTGTAATAGTCCTGACAGTGGGTCACTGGAATGTGGTCACATGGGCCATAATCTGTGTGAATTCGCAGTAGGAAAACATACTAGTGGCCCCAAGAGTTTTTTGAATTTGATACTGAACATTTATGGTCACCTGAGACAGCAAAAACAAACCATGAGTGTTTTAAACATTTGCAACTGTGTGAATTATCTGCAACAGCTGAAAAGTCTGCTCGGTTTTGGTAGATTATATTGACTGTGGACATTTATTTATTTTTATAGCTCTGACTTAAATGCACTTAGTGTCCTCATGTCTTACCCTGACATTTATTATAATTTTTAAGACAAGTTTGAAATAATTGCTGTTAAAAACAGACTTGTTACAGAGAAAAAATAGAAGCGTAATTCTAAAATCTACCACCCAGCCTTTACAGCACATATTGTGGAGCCCTTTTACCTGATAAAGCAGAGTGTCAGGGCCAGGACATCCGCTGTCGCTTCTCTCTTTGGAGTAGATATATCCACTTCTTTCAGCAGAGGCCACAGTGCAGACTCTGCTGCACCCAGCCAGTCATCAGGTAGCCGACAGCTTTCTGTGGTCTTTTCTCAAGCCCTGCTGGAAACTCCTCTCAGCTGACAGGGGATCAAGGAGCAAAGCACAGCTCATCAACTGAGTCAATATCTTTATACAAATAACCCTGTGAGCTTATGTTAGCCGTCTGAGCGTTAAGAGCTGAATATGCTCTGCCAAGCTAGAGAACGCGATCCTGTGTCCTTGGTAGAACTTTAACAGCTCTGGTGGACACACTTCACTGGATCTTGGTATTTCTCAGTTAATTCAGTCTCCACACACGCCTGTGGGTTGGTTATGCTGGTTAAAAAACACCCAACAGGGATCTCTGGAGCTTGCAGCAGCACCCTAGGCCTTGAGTCCATATGAGTTAAGTCCTCCGGCAGGCAGCTCAGCCAGGCTGTCTACCCTTCTTCTCTCCTCCATCCGTCCCCAGAGCCCAGGCTCAGGTAGCGGAACAGGTGACTGGCTCTCAGGTTTCAGGCCTTGCATAACAGGTCCCCACTGCACAAGTTATTAATGGAGTCAGAGGCTCTCAACAGCTCTGCAGTTGCCGTACTGATGCAGCAAAGAGAAAAAAAAACATAGATAAAATAAAACTGAGGGTGTTTGCTCCCACTTTTACTCTTTCCTGTGATTACTCAAACCAGTACTTTCCACAGATGTCCCCCCCAAAGCTTCTTTGAAAAGATACATACATTTTCTCGGGAGTAGGTAGACATGCATGTGGACAAAAGGACAGAAAAAGTAAAGGCAAAACTATAAATAAACGTCTAGATATGGTACAGCGCTGAAAAAAGTGCTGAATATTCAAGTCATTGTTTCTCCCCATGCACCCAAAGTAGGGTAGCATTAAAAAGCACAGTAAAGTACAGTAAGTTTACACTGTCATGATGATGAATCACCCAGTTACTCAACTAAAACAGTAAAAACATTGAGGTATATTTCACTCCTGTCACTACTCATGACCCAGTGGTTATGCTGATATAAACACTGAATGAAGCAAGGTGATGATCAATGACTTAAATACCTCCAGTTTTTAATCTAAGGCATGTGCTGTAACACTTCTAAATAGTTGGAAACATGGGTATGTATTTTATAGTAATGCAGAATTGATGGGATCATTTTTTGTAATCTATCATGAATAGCAGCAGTTTTCTTTCATGGTGCTTTTTATCTTCATAGCCTGGTATCTCTTTTGAACCATCTCCATGCTACTTGATCATCTTAAAACAGTCATGCTGGAGCAACCGAGGAGTGTAATTACATGCCTTGAATAAACATATTTTTTCACCGAAGTTTATTTTATTGCAGAGTTTGAATGTTCTCCCCGTGTCAGCATGGGTTTTCTCTGGATACCCTGGCTTCCTCCCACAGTCCAAAGACATGCAGGTTAATTGGTGACTCTACAATGGCCATAGGTCTGAATGTGAGCATGAATGGTTGTCTGTCTCTATGTGTCAGCCCTGTGCAATGTCAGCTGGGATAGGCTCCAGCCCCACGCAACCCCCAACAGGCTAAGCAGTGATTAATAATAATATTATTAACTAGTCCATACCCATTGAGTGCACAGTTGCCCACGTACAGTTTCACATGGTGTGTGTTTGGGATACAGGTCATAGGAAATTACAGATTAAATAGTCAACTGAACCCATTAAGAAGAGCAATGTATTCAGACAGAGTGTTTGTGAATTTGATAGTCCGATTGCTTTATTGAAAGTACAGTAGATTGACCACGTCAGTGAGTCAGTGAGTAGAAAAACGTGGGACAGACAGAATGATACACTGATAGTTTCCGTGATTATGTACAGCATACCATACCATGACTTAGTCATACCAAAAATTAGAAAAAAAAACAAACATTGGGCCACAGGGGGAGCCACAGCGATCTGTCACATTTTAGCCATTTTTAAGCATTTTTCTGTTGTTATAGCGCCACCCAGCTGCCAATTAGAGTTAAATTTCTCCAGTCACCTTGAGGCGTCCTGTTCTACATATCTACCAAGTTTAGTAAAAATAGATACGGCGGTTCAGCCTAGATAAGAAATTAGCTCTCTAGCACCCCCATTTTGTTTGACGGGGTCAATAATGGAGGGGTCCCCTCAGATTATGTGTGGTCATATGCCTACAAAGTTGCGTGGTGATGGGTGAAACCCTTGAGATGTTATACACCTTTATGTGATGAGCCATGCCCTCCGCAATATTCTTTGCCTTATAGAAGCTCAGTTTTAGTAAGTTTTCCAACTTTTGCCAAGAGGGAACTTTAGATATTGGTCCCTAGATTATGTTCACCGAGTTTCATGCAAATCGGTCAAACTTCCTAGGAAGAGATCGATTTTAAGTGAGACAAATTTGTTCCTCATGAAGAGAGGCATCTCTGTGCAAAGTTTCATGTCTCTACGACATACGGGGCATGAGATATGCCCATTCAAAGTTTGCAATTTCAATCATTTGCTATAGCGCCCCCCTTTGGCCAATTGATGTAATATTGCTTCATTCGCATCCTCCCATGACCCTCTATCACTGTGCCAAATTTCACATGGATTGACCAAGTCAGTGAGGAGAAAAACGTGGAACAGACACACAGACACACACACACACACACAGAGTTTTTGTCATTATATAGTAAGATAATGATGATTTTTTCCCAGTGCTTTATCTCTTAGTTTCATATTATACCGAAGACTTTAATCAGCCTTAAAGTTATCAGAGCCCAAAGCATCAACACAGCAAAAGAGAGGTTGCCATATCAATACGAACTTCTCTGCTGACCCACTGATAGTAAACCTAATCTCCTCCAACCTAATAAAAGACAACACATCCCAAATCCATTGTGTAAATGTTGAGGGATAACAATCTTTCCATCTAATCCACATTTCTCTTCTGGCCACCAGCGTGGCAAAAGACAAATTATTTAGATTATTGTGATTTCAAGTCAGATTCTGGGTAACCACACCAAAAAAGCAGGAGGGGGTGATGGGTCTAAAGACTTATCTGTGGTTTTGGAAAGCATATTAAATATTAATTGCCAAAATAAGATCATTTTGGACATTCCCAAAACATGTGTATTAGAGCAGCTTGGTTCTGCTTGCAATGATCGCACATGGGGCTTATACTGGATGTGTGGTCCAATGCAGTCAGTGGAAATCTTTACACCTGAATTAACATTAAATTAGTTCAGTGATGAATATATTCACTATATTCAATGTTTGGTTCATATACTGTAGATATGTACCTACAACAGTGGCCTGTAGATTTTATATACAAATAATTTGGCTTTTAGTGCACTGAACATTGTAACCTCCAGTATATTAGCATTCAAGTCAATTTCATTCAAACAACAGTTTGTTCTTTGAAGAAAATTACATGACCACTGCAGTTGTTGTATCCAGCTTCAGAGCATCAAGCTGAGCCAAGTCTTTTTAAGTCATCCTTGTACCTCCTCCCACCTCAACCTTTTAAACCTGCTTTTTATTCCTGTTTGAAATTTCTCTATGGTTGGACTGACCCTCCAAGATCTCTTGAAATAAACACAAAAAGTTGCAGTTTCACTGGAGCGCTGTAGTTCGAGAGCCCAGAGAAAGTACCTAAGAGAAAGTGTGAAATGGGTTTTTTTCACCCTGCCTCAAGATATGTGTAGGGGAGTCTATTCTGAGCTAATCCTATTAAAATTCTCATGTTGTACAGTATGTCCACTCTAAGTCTTCCAGCAATGTCACTTTTCATTTGATTGCCACTGTTTCAAGTTTCATGGGGATTTGTGCAATCAATAGTGTGCTCTAAAGCTATGCTGTGTTCATTAGAGAAAATCTAAGCAATTTCTCTTCTCTCTAACCCCAAAGGACCCCTTTTGCCTACATCAGAAACATCAGGGGTATACCGCACCAGCTCCCTTCAGGCCTGCTATGTTAGGTTTTCACAATGGCATAGCTGGGTTTATCATGCAGAACTGTATTGGTTTAAGACCACTGCTTGGAAGAATTTTAATAATGCAGATCTGGATCATAAAGGTATGTACAAAAGAAATGCCAGCCTCATCCAATCAGATCAGCTTCTAATCACTGGCATGTGGGCTATGTTCCTGTCTCAAGTCTTTTCCTTTAAGTGGACTTAAGGGAAACGCAGATTATATTAGGTTGGGCTGGAATGACACACGTAAGCTTATAGACCAGGGGGGGAACGTGGTGGTGGCCTCAGGGGCTTCAGCACTGAATGTTTTCTCAAAGCCCCGGATCTATTTCAGTAAGGAGGGACTCGTTTTCATAGTAAAAAGAGTATTTATTAACATGTGCACATGACAATGAAAAATGTGAAAAGCCTCTGGCAATTAGACCCCACCGAGATGGTATGATTTAAGGAAGCTAATGAATCCAACATGAATAGGGAACCCCACCTGGGAGCCCGGTCTCACTCCGAAGTCGTCAAAATCCGGCGCTTGGGCAGTGACTTGTGGTGTCAGAAACCGACATAAAAAGGCATCCTTTGACGTTGGCATGATACGTGGCTGGTTGCCGTTGTAGTTTAATGGTGCCTGGCGGTGTCGGGGAAAAGAGGCGAGACAAGTATGAAAGTTAAAGTGGTGAAAGTCCAACTGGGGCGGGCGGGAGGGGTGGTAGATGGGTCCAACAAACATCGACTTTCACCCAAGAGAGTGGTGTTCGCATCCCATAAGATTGTAAAGCCAAGCTCGGTTCTTTTTTCCTAAACCTAACCATGTGCTTTTGTAGTCGTCAATTCGCTGTGTGTCCTTGACCAAACGTCGATATGTGACGAGGTTGGAGTGAGAATGCTTTGCCCCCGGGGTCGCTGCTGGTGGTAAAAGTGGTGAAGATGAGATTAGAAGAGAGTGTGGAGAAGATGGAGAAGTGCTGATGATCTGGATGAGTAGAGGAATGAGCCTTCATTGAGCTTGTCCTGGACTCTGGATATGATGGCTGGAGGTGAACAGGGTGGAAGAGGGCGTGACAATTCTGCCTAACATGACAGCTGACGGCAGCAGAGGAGAGAACAAATTTAAAATTTTGCAGTAGCATCCTGATTGGCTGATAAAGATTGTGGATAACTAGAAGAGTGAGCACCCATAGTAAGCAGATTAAAGGGAGCCGTGGGAGTGGGAGGGAGAGGAGAAAGTGTTATTAATTGAACTTACACAGAGTTTCATTAGTTTTTAGGATTTCAAATGGCTTAAAAATAGTGCATATGGCTGTCGTTAATGAGGGAAAAAAATCTCTCTGTAAAAACATGCCCCCTGACCCATAGGTTTGGGCTGACC